GGCGGTGGCCGCGCCGCCGCCGGCTTCGCCCGCCCCGCCTCCTCCTCCGCCGCCGTTGCCGCTACCGCCGCCACCTCCACCTCCACCGCGCCCCGAGGAGGCGGCGCCCGTCTGCTCGACGCCCACCTCCGTGTCGGCCATGTGGGCGCTGAAGCAGCAGCAGCAGCACCAGCTGCAGCAGCTGCAGCAACGACAGCGCGCCGCCTCGATGTCAGCCGGGCCGGCGCCGCGGCCCGTGGCCGTGGCACCGTTCAGCGTGCGGGTGCGCGGGCCGCCGTCGGAGCCGCTCCGGCCGACCGGCGGCCTCGGGCCGCACGGCCAGCAGTACTGCGAGATCCTGGCCCAGGTGACCCAGCTCAAGCAGCAGATGACGGCGCCCGGCGAGCTGGGCGGTGACGCGGTGCCGGCGCACTCGAGCAGCCTGGCCAAGCTGCTGATGGAGAAGAAGCGGCAGATGGAGCCCGGCCTGCTCAACGAGATGCTCAAGGTAGCGAGTGGCCGGTGTCGGAATGACATCGCCAAAGTAGGGAAACGGCTTGGGCAGAGTCGATGCTGGGGTGGTGTCGGAAAGCTGCGCTGGACGTTGTATGTGGTGTATGGTAGAGGTTCTCCCTAGCGCGTGGTTTCTGCCTTTTACGGTTGCTTCATCGAAAGTGGCAGGCTGGAGTTGATGAACCCATCTCCGAACAGATATGATTGCGTGACATTCACGCGGGTCATATGGGACGAATCGTAATGCTCGCGATGATGACATGCTCACGGGGCGTGCCGCCTTAGCCCGTTTTCGAAAGCTGCTCTCGTTTGGCCCGGGCTTGGGCGTCACGTGACGTCCCTGGAAGCGCCCGTCATCCACGTGCCCCGGCCGGGCTGCACGTGCGCTACTCGAGCTGCGCTAGGGGCCCGGCCGTCGCCGGTGCCGGGTCGCTGACGACCGCCGTCTTCTGGCAGCCCCACATGACGGTGCGTCCGTCCGTGAACGGTCCGCTCGGTCGGCCCGGCGCGCCGCCCGCCAGCAGCACCGCCCGGGGGCTGCCGCCTCCCCCGCCGCCGCCGCCACCGCCGTCGGACGTGCCGCTGTGCCAGGGCTGCGGCCGGCGGCCGGCGCAGTTCGTGTGCGCCGGCTGCGGCCAACAGTGGTACTGCTCCCGCGACTGCCAGGTGAGGGGCGGGCGAGGGAGGGCTCTCATGACTGTCCTCTAAGAGGCGGGGAGAGGAGGGCTCCCGCGACTGCCAGGTGAGGGGCGGGCGAGGGAGGGCTCTCGTGACTGTCCTCTAAGAGGCGGGGAGAGGAGGGCTCCCGCGACGGCCAGGTGAGGGGCGGGCGAGGGAGGGCTCTCGTGACTGTCCTCTAAGAGGCGGGGAGAGGAGGGCTCCTGCGACTGCCAGGTGAGGGGCGGGCGAGGGAGGGCTCTCGTGACTGTCCTCTAAGAGGCGGGGAGAGAAGGGCTCCCGCGACTGCCAGGTGAGGGGCGGGCGAGGGAGGGCTCTCGTGACTGTCCTCTAAGAGGCGGGGAGAGAAGGGCTCCCGCGACTGCCAGGTGAGGGGCGGGCGAGGGAAGGACTCCCGCGACTGACCTGTAGGAGGCGGGGAAGGGAGGGCTCCCGCGACTGCCAGGTGAGAGGCGGAGGGGGAGGACACATGTCTGCCCTCTCAGAGACGGGGAGGGGAGGGCTCCCGCGACTGCTGGGTGGGAGTCTAGCAAAGAGGGAGGCGTCCTGGGATTGCCAGGCAAGTATGTGGTGTTCAATGTCGGTGTGAAATACTGCATTTTAAACGCACCTTTAAGCTGCTCTGTGGATAGGACGCCGAAAAACAATCGTTAGCTTCAAGTGTCAAGTCGTCTTTATGGCGTTTCTTTTTCACTATAACATTACGACCCGCCTCAAGCGTATGCCACTGTTAGTCGAACAAGCATATCAAACACCCGTCTAGGGCCACGATTTGCCACCCTGTGGCGCGCCGCCGTAACGCTTCACCCTCGCGTCGCCAGGTGGAGGCGTGGGACAGCCACGCCGACGACTGCGCCGGCTGACCGGCCACTGGCGCCGCTGGCGCCGCTGGCGCCGCCCCCGCGGCGTGGTGCACGGGGCGGCCGCGCTGGCCGGCCCGACATCCGACCGTCGTCTGGTGCCTTCGCATGCTGCCAACCGCAGAGCCTTAGCGGCGATAGCGGTCATCCGCGCCCCACGCCGATGTGACGTCAGAATCTCGTGTTTTTCCACTGCGCTTGCGGTAGACCCTGTCCGCGGGTGCGTGGAGATCGGGGTGGGTGGGTGGGAGGGGGAGGGTGGGGCCAGGCGCCGCCTGGCAAGGCGAGTGGCCGGGAGGAGAACCGGGAGGGAGGGCGAGGGGGGCGAGGGAGTGCGGGAGTGAGTGTGGTGCCGGGTCGCTTCCGTCTCCGCGCGAGCTTGTAGGCGGCGAAGCTGAGCGTGTGGCTCCGCCGCGGGGCTGGGTGCTGAACGGACTGTTCGTGTGATACCGCTGCGAATACAAGGGGAGTTTGCGTCGCTGTCTCGAGGCGGTGCGGTGGATGGACGCCCGCTGGGGGTGTGATCGCGCCCGCGGTCTTGGCCGCGCCGAGAGAGCTGCTGGCCGCGCGGGCAGCGTGCTGGAATTTTTACGGATAGGTGTGGACACGCGGCATGTAAACACGCGTAAGAGATGTACATGAAAGGCGAGGCGACGTTCGATTTCGAAGTTGCCGCGCTGACACGGTAGCGAGCCCCGGGCACGCTGGCCGACGGACACATGCTATCCGGATTCGTACAAGCGTCAAGCTTTCTTGCTTAGTGTTACGGCTCACAAGAGCAGTCCAGTTCGCTCCCGCTGGTGGTGGCGTGTCGACCATTGCACGATGAAGGGCTTGTGACGCGGTTGCGGCCTTCAAACAGTCATCATGGCATAAAGCAACCAATCAAAGCATGTAATGGACAGCAAGGGAAGTGCGCTGCCGGCTGCAGTGTTGAAGGAGTCTAATCTATTAAGCAGTTTTGAGCGAGCAGTGCCTTGCAACATGCCGGGAGAACAGTGCCGCGTTTGACAGGCGGTTGGCGCCACAGTACGCTCGCGCGAAGTGCTGTGTTGGCGCGCACCACCAACTCTCGGCGTTGACAGTCCCCGTCGCCCATCTGTCGGTGCCGTCAGGTCAGGGACGGCGAGCCGCCGCATGCGGGGGGTCAGTGTCGTACGTGCCGCCCCAGCGGCGCTGGCGTGATAAGGCGAGAACGAGAGGCACCCCGCGACCTGGCGACGACCCAGTAACGCCGCAGATGAGGCACCGACTGAACAGATTGGCATTATCGGAATTCACGGAACTGGACGGGGCTTGCTAACCGCCGGGGATCATGCGGCGGTTCGTGACGGCGCTGCCGAGTCACCGGGTGAGTGGCTGCCGTGTCTCGCGAGAGGCACGCCCGTGTCTCGCGAGAGACGCCCGTGTCTCGCGAGAGGCACGCCCGTGTCTCGCGAGAGGCACGCCCGTGTCTCGCGAGAGGCACGCCCGTGTCTCGCGAGAGGCGCCCGTGTCTCGCGAGAGGCGCCCGTGTCTTGCGAGAGGCGCCCGTGTCTCGCGAGAGGCGCCCGTGTCTCGCGAGAGGCACGCCCGTGTCTCGCGAGAGACGCCCGTGAGAGAGGGCCGCCCGTGCGAGGGAGAACCGCGTGAGCCGAATGGTGAGACTGCGTCGAGCCTTCGCTGCATGCTATGTGTATGGCACACCGGACGGGAGCGCTGGAGCGATACCAATCGTGAGAGAATTCCACGCGTCAGTCATTCCCATGCAAAATAGCCGCGGTGACGCCTTGTCAGCGCCGAATCCTATCTAAACACCAGGTGGCGGTCGTCCCCGTTGCTCACACAGCTGCCCCCCCCCCCCCCCACATCCCACCCCACCCGCGCACCGTCAACCCGTCCCGCCGCGAGACGCCGTCTCGACGGGGGGTGGAGCGGCGCCCGATGCTCTATTTCCGTCACAAAGACGGCTGTACGCGGGAGGGCGGAGAGCAGGCCGTCGAGCGGGCGTCGGCGCTGACTCAGGGGCGTGGTCTTTGACTCACGCACGTGAGGCGTCGGACCGAGTGTCGTCCCCTCCGCGACTCCGCCGGCCGGTGGCCGGTCGCCCGGCGCCGGCGGCACGAGAGGGGGGGGGGGGGGGAAGCGAAAGCTCCCCCCGTCTCGCCCTAGGGAGTGGAGCTGGTGTGAACTGTACGGAGTTCCAATCCCTAGCGTAACCAGGCTATCAGCGACGGCAGGCAACACCCAGGTCAATTGTACACACGTGCTTAATGAACGAGGCTGAAACATTGGCGCGTTGTAGTGACGTTCTGTCAGGTTTCCGCTGATCCTTTGCGCGATTATGGTAATTGAACGATATGAATTAGCATGGGGCGTCCGTGGTTCCCTGCTAGCGTGGCAATAATGAGAGTGTTATGGACGGTTGCGCAATGCCCATAAATAACTTGTTCATTGCCATAACTTAGCTTCCTTCAGCATGGTCGAACAACACAAGCGACTGGATATACTGCTATCCTTGAAGACGGGACGGCGACGCGGCCGACCGTCGTGAGTCCATGTATGGACCGTGACTGCGAAGAGGTCAGACAGACCCAGACCCCGACAGAGGCGCAGACACGAGGGCAGGGGGCAGGCACACCCCATCTGCGGCAGGCAGCAAATGATGGGTATAGCTGGGAGCTTCTGCTTTGCATATGTAGGTAGGGGCGCCGTATGACCCACCACTAATTTGGATGTTCTCCACACCTCCCAGATTCAGGTGCTAGGGAAAGAAAGCAACATTCGCTGAGTGCTGACACGAGCAAGACGCAGAAATGCCCCGAAAATTGGTGATGTTTGTAGTTTGGAAATATTGACGCTCACGGCACACCCCCCACTCGTGATAGCCGCCCCCCCATCAGCAGGAACCTCGGTGCGCCTCTGCGCGACGGCGCCACGAGGCGGCCACCGCCCTTCCGTGTCTCAGCCAATCAGAACGTTCCGCTGACGTCGCCGGCCGGGCGTATAAAGAACGGCCGGACGGCGGCCACCGCTTCAAACCTCCGTCTCCCGGGCATCGCAGGCAAACGTCCGTAAGGCTTCGTTACACTGCCTTTGGTCTTTTGTCTCGCTCAGAGCCGACACCAAACCATCTCTTCAACATGGTGAGTGACCGCTCCCGATCTCGTGTCAGACCTGTTCTTGTCTTTGACGTGGCGGCGGGACGTTCGATCCAGTTCGGATGGATCGGCGTGTGCTCGTGTGTTCGGAACTGATGTGTGGATCGCGGCCCAGTTGAAAGCGTTTCCCGATCGTGTGGCCCAGATCAGATTGCCGCATTTATAAGCGATTCCTCTGGGTTGAGAAGCCGGGGGGGGGGGGGGGGGTTGCTCGTCCCCGTTACCAAGCGGACGAAATCGATACGCGCGCTCTGTACGTTCTACTTTCCACCTGTGAAGGCGTACATTCAACCCATAGGTGATATTCCCATCAGCCAAAAACGCACCTCACCAACTGCCGTTGGTGAGACGCGCACTGGTAGTCAACAGCCGCCATACCACATCCATTAAGCGTCCCTGGCATTCAAGTTCATATGCGGAAATACACCAGGCTTCCTTCAGCTCCCAAGGGACAATTAACTCGAGACATGGGCCCTGAACCAGCACGATTAATTGTTTCCGGTCGGCTCTGTCATTTGGCCGCCGGACAGGCCCGCTGCCCGCCCGCCACAGGCCTCGGTCGATATCTGACCGAACGTTGGCCCTGGCGGACGGATTTGATGCTAGATTGGACAAAACATTAATGTTGGGTAATATGATGCATTACACACTGGGTACCTGACAGTAATTGGTCCTTTAGCATTGCACACTGAGTGCCTGACAGCCATTGGTCCTTAAGCATTATATACGGAGTGCATGACAGCAATTAGCCCTTTAGAGCCGGTAATGCACATGCCATGCGTAGGGCCCAACCGCCTCACGCTCAGGAATAGGGGGTCCGAACAGCCATTCTGCCACTTAACACTCCGCACTTGCTGCGACGTTGCCGGACTAATGCCTACCCGCGGCCGTCCTGGACTCGCCCGTGCTCGGCGGGCGGCACGACCAGTGGGGCAAGACGGTCACGCCGCGCCCGCAGCGGACATGAATCATCCCGAGCTAGTCGGGGTTCGGGGCGGGTGAATCACAGCTGCGGCCGCGCGGGCGACGACCTTCGGCCGCAGCTGGGCCGCCGGCCGGCCGCTCAAGGCGTCGTGGTCAGCGGCCGCCGAAGTCATGAACGTTTGCTGTACGTTGACAGATTTGTTAAGCTAACGTTTGGTGTGCCACTTCGAATGCGCGAGAACCTAAGTGACATAATTCTCAGGATCGATTTCTGTACTCGGTTATAGGAATTTTGCCCTCGGTGCCATACTTAAACGAGAGGTTTTCCTCCTCAGTCGGCGCTAAACATCATACCCGGATTGTTGATCAGGGAAAACGTGTTGGTGTCTGAGTCATCGCAACCCACCCAAGGCCTCGTGCAAAGGGAGGCTCCGGCCGTGCACGCCATCTTTAAAGCGCACACATGCCCGGATGTGTTGCTATGCCAGGGTGATCCGATCTCCCCCGTGCACAGGCTGACGAGCGCGATCGTCCGTTTGCACCCACGTCACCCCGGCTCGCTTCGGACAATGAGAGACGATGCCCGGTCCTGTGCCGGGCCCATCCCCCGCCTCGGCGGCCGCACTCGCAGGCGAGTGCCCTATCTCACCGGCCCTGTCGTTCCAGCGCGAATGCATCTCCGTCCACGTGGGCCAGGCGGGCGTGCAGATGGGCAACGCCTGCTGGGAGCTGTACTGCCTCGAGCACGGCATCCAGCCGGACGGCAAGGTGCCCACCGACAAGTCGATGGGCGGCGGTGACGACAGCTTCTCCACCTTCTTCTCGGAGACGGGCGCCGGCAAGCACGTGCCGCGCGCCGTATTCGTCGACCTGGAGCCGAGCGTAGTCGATGAGGTCCGCACCGGCGCCTACCGCCAGCTCTTCCATCCGGAGCAGCTCATCTCGGGCAAGGAGGACGCCGCCAACAACTACGCGCGCGGTCACTACACCATCGGCAAGGAGATCGTGGACGTGGTGCTGGATCGCGTGCGCAAGCTGGCCGACCAGTGCACCGGCCTGCAGGGCTTCCTGATCTTCCACTCGTTCGGCGGCGGCACCGGTTCCGGCTTCACCTCTCTGCTGATGGAGCGGCTCAGCGTCGACTACGGCAAGAAGTCGAAGCTCGAGTTTGCCATCTACCCAGCGCCGCAGGTGGCTACGGCCGTGGTCGAGCCCTACAACTCGATCCTGACCACGCACACCACGCTGGAGCACTCGGACTGCGCCTTCATGGTCGACAACGAGGCCATCTACGACATCTGCCGCCGCAACCTGGACATCGAGCGTCCGTCGTACGCCAACCTGAACCGCATGATCGGTCAGATCGTCTCCTCCATCACCGCCTCGCTCCGCTTCGACGGCGCCCTCAACGTCGACCTGACCGAGTTCCAGACCAACCTGGTGCCGTACCCGCGTATCCACTTCCCGCTGGTGACCTACGCGCCGGTCATCTCGGCTGAGAAGGCTCACCATGAGCAGCTGTCGGTGGCCGAGATCACCAACGCCTGCTTCGAGCCGGCCAACCAGATGGTCAAGTGCGACCCGCGCCACGGCAAGTACATGGCCTGCTGCATGCTGTACCGCGGCGACGTCGTGCCCAAGGACGTCAACGCCGCTATCGCCACCATCAAGACCAAGCGCAGCATCCAGTTCGTCGACTGGTGCCCGACCGGCTTCAAGGTGGGCATCAACTACCAGCCGCCGACGGTGGTGCCCGGCGGCGACCTGGCCAAGGTGCAGCGCGCCGTCTGCATGCTATCCAACACCACCGCCATCGCCGAGGCTTGGGCGCGCCTCGACCACAAGTTCGACCTGATGTACGCCAAGCGCGCCTTCGTGCACTGGTACGTCGGCGAGGGCATGGAGGAGGGCGAGTTCTCCGAGGCGCGCGAGGATCTGGCCGCGCTGGAGAAGGACTACGAGGAGGTCGGCATCGACTCTGCCGACGGAGAGGAGGGAGACGAGGAGTATTAGGTCTCGCGGACGGGTTCGCCGACTAACCGGGCTGGCGCCGTTCGCACCCCCGTCACTTGTTTGCACTCCTGTGGGGAACAGCCTGTCTCTGACCATCTCAGCGTCATTCCGAGCGTCGCCGTGTGACTGGAAATACACACTGTGAGCTGAAGCGGGCCTTTTGGACGCTAACTGGAGCGGGGAATGCGGCCGGCACGGCGCGGCGGCCGTTGGCCCGGGCGCGGTCGGCGGCTCCGCTCCCAGCGGTGCCGGCCGTCGGCCGCTGCAGCCGCGGGCTCGGCCGCCGGCGCGGTTGGCCGCACGGGCCGATCGAAAACACGGCCGCTCTCGAGGCGCACCCGGCGGCGGTGGCTCATGGAGGTGGCGGTCCGCACCTTACTCCCGAGGATGGGCCGCTCGCGCTGCCCGTGTACACGGCACTCTCAGCCTGTTCCTGACGTCTGCGGCTCTGCGCGTTTCAAGAACGATTTCGTCGCTTTGATTGATTGCTGGCCATGCACAGCGACTCATGAACTGAGGAGATGCACGGGCGGTCTGCAGCGCTCTAGCCGAAATGGCTCACAAAAGTACTGGTGCACCGTGGTAATTACTGCCATCTCGCGCGAGCATATTGCTGTCCAGAAGCTGAAACGAGTAGTTTACATAAGCAATTAGGATTCAATGTGCCTTCCACATACTAAGCACATTTCAATGTGTGTAGCCGGCAAGTCGGTGGAGCCCAAGAAATGTTTGGTTTGGGTGAGCCGCCTCGTGCCGTACCGCGGCTGCGCCTCTCAGGTTCCACCCGCGCACACCCGGGGTGGGGCCGCGCTGACAACGTCATTTGACTTGCGCCAGCAGTCGCTGAACGGTACGGCCTGTTACACTGGACGCACGCGATCAGTACGTAACCGAACCAAGCACACCTGTTAAGCCTGCGCATGTTGATGTCGGATATGTTGATGGAGCGGATGCTTGCGCGTTCCTAGCGGCAGCTCAAGCGTTACTCAGCCGTTTGCGTTCACAGAGATAAAGTGGTAGATGTCTGAACTTCGCGACTGACGAATTGACACACACAGCGGTAGGGCACCCGGCCATCGAAGGGGTCATGTCTAGTCACATTATTGAAGCTGACTCTAAGAGCAAGCTCTGCATGCACGCACACTCCATTCCAGAATACACTCGCTTTTGCGAAAACCGTGTCACTTCGTGTTTCGGTGGCTTGTTTCGACTTGGTGTTTCAAGCGCGCTCATAGGGTGCATCTGAATGTCACCCATGACGTGCATATAATAAAACTGAATGCGAACCTACCCAGAACTCGAAAGGTCACGGCCACCAATTGTCGGTTGGTTTTGTGAACGGTCAGCTGGCCTCAAAGATGTGACAATCGGGCCAGATCGCCTCCTCTTGCGATGTTTCGTGTCGAGACCTTCCCAGGAGGTCCTGGCTATCACATGGCCTCCTGCAACCCCCCAATCATGGATTTGTGATTAGATTCGGCCTTAAAAGGCGCAGCTTGAGTGACGACGAAGTACGCTGCCAGTGCAGCGCAGAGTGATTTGCAAAGATTGTGAAGTGCCGTCCGTGTACTTGACCGCGAATGAGTACAGACACTCAGAAATAATACGTTGAGATTGTGCAGTCAATTTCGGGAGCCAGCATGCATTCAAGGCCGGCTGACAGCACAAGCTTTGTTGTGTCACCGCCAACAGCGCCGCGGGAGCAGCATTATGTTAACTTCTGCGCCATAGACTACGGCTCAAAATGCAACTCGCCAGGGGGCAGCTCGTCAGACAGTTAACCACGACACACCGCAGCAAACCCCAGTCCGTTGCAAAACATCGTCAGGCAACCTGCCATAACTGTATTTCATGCAGTTTCCTCACACACAGAGCAACTGCGATCGACACGTTTTATAATTAAACAAACAAAAAAAACATTTACCCAGCCGGTGCACGTCAGTGGTCTGCCTCGACTGCTCGCATTGCCAATCGACGCCCGCCGGATCACGCCAGGCCGAGCCAGTCCAGCGCGCCGTCCCCGCCGCCCCGATCCAGACGGCCGGGTCGGCCACCGGAGCCCGGGCGCTCAATTACCGGCCGGAAGTGAGTCGTTTCCGGTCGTGGCCGCTCTCGGCCGGTCGTCGCGTTCCCACGGGCCGCCGAAGCGAGACGCGGCGCCGCCGGGCCGGCGGTGGCCGCGATGGCCGGGCCGACGGCCGCGCCACGACCACGTGCCAGGCGGCGGCGGCCGAGCCCGGGCGCGGGCGGCGCTCTGGGCGACGCCGCCGGCCTGGAACACGCTAGAGGCGCGGCGACACTGGGCGCTGCGGCGTGAATTGAACAGCCGTCGCACGGTTGTTCGGTGACATTCCCGCCGGTTGCGATGGAAAGGAACCAGGCTGCAAACATGAATCCGCACGTTACTTTTGGGACCCGACACTTCCAACATCACGACCGGCTGCCAGCAGCGTGTTATCCGTGGCTCTCTCCCAGATGACGTGCGGGGGACAAGCCACGTCACCGCGTGACTTCACCCCCACCCCCTCGACAGCGCGAGCGAGGAGCGAGCACGAAACAACGGCAGACGCCGGCAGCTGGGCCCAAGCCGGCCGGGCCGGTAAACAGGCCGGTGCGCTGAGTCAGCCCAGGCGGCCGAAGCCGCCACCAGCTGCGACCTGACGGGGCGGTGCCGCGAGCGGCGCCGGCGGCAGCGAGCACCGGCCACGAGCCGCGCGAGCGCTCATGGAGACGGCTGGATAGGCATGGCGGGACAGGGGCGCAGACAAGGGAGAGGGGCGCCCCGGGGCCGTCATGCTATGTTAGCACCTGACAGTCAAGAAGCCAGCCTACACTTGGTCGTCTTACTAGCAATCCAGTGGGATCCATCGCCACCGAGTGTATATATCCAAGCGAGTCGAAGTTGGGATCCTCTTCGGTCCTCTTGCGATGAGTTTCCACTGAGGTCCGACCCCCCCCCCATCCAAAAATCCAGGCTGCGCCCCTGTGCTGGGGTGGTGATTGATACTTAAGGATCCATTCCCAGACAGGCTTAAATAAACGTTTGAACTAACAAGTTCGCAGCTTGGACGAGGTCCTATGCTAGATACACACACGATATCGTGTGGCATCTCGATAAACACTTGTATTATAGCACGGTTAAAATCATGTTTCAGACATATATGCAGGGATATAAATAAGCATCTGGGGGCGACAAATCCGACAACGCCGAAACATCTGCTGACTAGATCCGTAGCAACTCAGGCTTGGCATGTCCCACTGTCTCGAGATATCTCGAGATTCAACAGAGACTCTGCGACGGTTATTGCAGCACATCCGGTTATAAATCAAGAACACTTCCTACCCAACAGCGCAATCCTGCACGACTCGACGTGGCCACCCCCAGCCACGCCTCACTCGCGAGTCAGCAGAACCCACCCTTCATCAACGGTGGGACTCTCGGCCAAGCGACTCTTTCTCCCTCGCGCCCCTCCCAAGCCCCTCCCTCGCGCGCCATCAACCCTTCCCTGCAATCCCTTTCGACCCAGACGGCGCGCGGTCCCTCCGACGCTCCAGCCCAGCCCTATCCTCCCAAGAGGCACGCTCCCCGACCCGTATTTGGCCACACGGCCGGCAGCGCTCGCCGCCACAGGGCGCCCCCGCAAACAGCTGACCAGCGTGACGTCACGACCTAGCGGTGTCGCCCGGCGCCGCGCACGGGGGGCGGCCCACCCGACCGGGGGGCGTGCCGCGGCAGCGATTCGAGATCAGGGGGCACGGAGCCGACGCGCCCGGTGCACTCAGGCGGCACCAGGGTCACTCCAAGCGGCCAGGGTCTGCGATGGTCGATGGTCGGTCTCGGAACACTGATATGTGGATAAGGCGGATTGCTCCGATAAACAAGGGTCCAATGACGGGTCGGCTGGATAACTGAGCACGCGCGAACGCGAGCGTGACATTAAACGCGACAAGGCGTGCACTGGCATGGACGGATGCTCCGTACCAGGGTGTCCAGCACTATCCCCGGTGGGCGCGCCAAGTGCCTGCAGGGCTGCTCACTTCCGTCAAACGCGGACTCAAGGGACGGGGAACTCGATATCACCCAAAATTGACCGCCCGATTTTCAACTTACAGACTTCAGAATATTTTCCACAGAAAAACTAGCGCCCGTCAAAAAGTATTGAACTCTCAAGGTCATCATTCGAGGCCAAACGCGGACTCAAAGGACGGGGAACTCCATATCACCAAAAAACTACCGACTGATTTTCAACTCGCAAGTGTCAGAATATTCGTCACAGAAAGAACTAGCGTCCATCAGAAAATCCTGACATCTCAAGGTTCCCAGCCAGCGTTCCCAAACGAGGCCCACATGCGGTAAATGTCGGGCATCTAGGTTAATGTGGACGTGGGCTACAGGTGGGCCATTATCTGGGCTCCATTTGGGTCTCATATGGAGCGCCCACATCATACCATATTTTCAGATGCACTTGAGATGTCTGCGTTATGTACTGTCCCATCAGAATTAACCACATTAGTAGAAATAGTTCACAACGTGGAAATGCTTGCTTTGATGGGATCCATATGGGCCATACGTGGGCAGGCTGGGCTTGTGTCAACATGGGCCAGAGGTGGGCTGGTATCTAGGCTTAGTCTGGGGCCCAGATGGGCTACCCATATGCCACACACACAACAAAACTGTCACATACACAATGATGGCAGCCGTACTTGTTTTCCTGTCTTGAGGTTATAATGCATTGTGTATCATTATTGTACAACATCGGGCAGCTGCGTGTACTGGGGTTTGTATCGGCTGAACATGGGCAAGCTCGGGGCCCATGTCAACATGGACTACATGTGGGCCAGTCTTTGGGCGCCATCTGGGACCCAGGTGGGCTGTCCACATGCCTACCACCTTTGGCATCGATGTGCTAGGCCTGGTATTTTGTGCTCCTACGTTAGATTTTTCCATATTGTGTACAAATGAATGCATAATAAGAGAAAACATCACCGGTTGGGTTTCATATGGGATGTGTGTGGGCAAGCTGGGCACATACCAACAGGGGATGCTAGTGGGCTGGTGTCTGGATCCCACCTGGGACACAGGCGGCTGCCCACATGGGGCCATCTCGGTTATGTGCACTAATTGCTGTGCTGTATGCTTCCTGTTTAGGT